GGAGGGGAGATCTTAGTTGCAAAGCAAACCTTCCATGTTATCATTGAAAGGACCCTAATCACACCATCTGATGAACCGAAAGCCACGAGAGGGCCATCTCCACCACCAGATTTAGAGAGGAACTCCATACTGCAAGAGCAAGACAAAACAGAATGTGTTAATATATCTGAATCTCCTGCCTCCTAATAACCAGCAAAAGCACATGAAATCCTTCTTCTCATATATAATACCAGTACCACCTTTGAAAAAAAAAGACTTTGGAGATGCAAAGGATTTCATTTGTTTTAAATTTAAGTCTAAAAAAATCTAGAATATACATAAGAATCATAACTTCCTTGGTGTTTTATATAAAAGGATACAAGAAGCATTAGAGATGTAGTAGTGACTTGCCAGACAAGTGAGCGGTTGTCTAGATCCTGCTTTGGCACATCTCGACCACGCATTGTGACCAAATCCAAAAAGATGGCCTTGTTTTCACAGCAGATGACAAGAAAATGTCTTCCTTTTGTTGATGGAGCCGGAGAATTGAAGGCTGAAGTCAACTGATTCACTGCTGATGGTGGTTCAGCAGCAGCAGACCGGTTACGCCACAACTGCCAATACCTTACATCATCATCATAAAAGCTAACTTGCCGTACACTGAAATCACATACATAATATCTATTAGTATTTCACTATTTCTAGCTTCACATTTCATAAATCATTAATCAAACACAAATCCCTTACCTCCCTCCACGTAGTGCTTCTGTTGGTTTCCCTTTCGACTCTGTCACATAAAAAAAACACTAGATTCATCTTCTCCGTTTAATCAAAAACCAACTAACATCTATTATCTATACCCAAATAATGATTTCAGCTCAGGCTTTTACAACTAGAATCACGCATATTTATTATGCAGGGAGAATATACACCAAGCAAAACTTCCTAACAGATCACTCACAAAGATATAATAATAGGTTGGTTCACTGTTATTTAATTTACTAACACACTGGTCAACATCATATCATATGATCAACATCATACGGCATCGTTTGGTTCACGAAACAAATGTTCATCAAGTCACATTCTCAAATTGGAATCAAGCTTAAATTGCCATCTCATCTACAAACTAAGCCCTGTACACTAGGATGATTCTATAGATATGTTTAACTAAGTTAGAAATTGCTTGTAGGCATCATTGTAGAGTTTATTCATCAAAAACTTATGACTTATCAATATCCACATTTACACATATACAATTTCTTATAATTATTCTTGCTTACTATGTGTGTCACATCTATACAAAACAAATTAAGTTAATATACTATTCATTTCATGATTCATGGATTATTAAATAAGAACAAGATTCTTTACTTTAGCCGCAAAATGACACCTGTACCCAGTGGTCGACTAGTCCCCAACAGATGGACCGACTAGCATCTAGCGACTACTGACTTTTAAGATATATGCCCAACCTCTCTCTTTGTATATCTATATCTGAATTTTGATAATAATTTTCACTTGGTATTAACTTTTTCCAATATGATATATATGACTTTTAAAATTGAAAATGAGTGTACAATATAGTTGTTCTTAAAAATGTGTATCTCATAAAAAAAATGTCTTAAAAATGTGTATCAAACCTTGTCCTCCTATGGATATTGGTCATATCTAATTTTGCTAATATTAATTGCTTTACAACTTAGGTAAGCCAACTAGTCACTGGCCTCCGCTTGACCCCTAGAGACTAATGCCTAATAGGAACAATAAGTAATGTGACATGTGTCACTATAGAATGGGTCTTCATAACCAGCTATAGAGATATAAGAAACATGCATCTTGTCAATCCCTAGGCAATGCTGTCTTCACTACAGTAGTCGGGGTTCAAATACAGTTAGTTACTGCTAGTTACAAAATTTTGATTAAAGTCCAACTCCAGGGCTTTATATTCAAATATCTCAGATAAGTTTTTCTATCTTGCCTCTCTCCATTACATCAGAACTATCATCCTATTAGCATCTAAGCTCAATGAATCACTTGGTATTACGTGTGGATCTAATGTCCTATAACACACTAATAAGCAAACTGGATTCATTATGTAAAAGAGCATCTCAAATTTTGAAACAACAGAAAATATTAATTGACCAGAAAGAAAATTCAAACTCCTCAGATACTTTAATTTCTACTTAGTAATAAAGAAAGACGCCATCAGTTGTTAATTGGAGAATCATTTCTCATTAGACATATGAACTCAATTGAATGTTCATGAGTATGCTAAGGTCGCAATTATAGTACACCAACCTGATTCACCCTCTGCAAGTTTCTCCAACTTGGCACCAACCAAACGCCGTTCATCAACACCACCAGCTTTCAACTCATATATCACCTAACAGTTCAAATTGTATAAACTAACAAAAAAAATAATTTAAAAATGAAATTAAATGCCGACAAGCTAATCACCTGGCGGTGCTCCCAGTTCCAAACTGAGACGTGATCCGATGCATCAGCTGTGACAAGCCACGGATGAGTAGGGTGCAATTGGATCTTCACGATCTTGTCATTCGTAGGCCGAAATGCTTTCAGACGTAGCATTTTACCCCTCTTTGCACTTGCGAATCACTGGAGCTATGGATCTGATAATTAGAAGCAGAAACAAAGAAAATCTACGGCTCCTTCTTGTCGATTAACACTCACGTTTCTCATAAGATCATGAAATTGTTGATTATTATTTGGTCAGGTTCTGAATTGCGACTAAGTCGTGGAACTCCCCGGCTCCAGAGAAGGTCAAATTGTGGAGAAATTGGTCGATTGGATGGCCGGGTGAATCAACGGCGACTGTATGCTGTAAAGCCCGACGAGATGTATTTTTCCCTTCGGTTAGAGACACCTTGACATAAGTGTGTTGGATCACAATATTTGTGGCGAATATGTAATAAAATAAAGTAGAAGGGCTTAAAAGGACATACCAAACATGTCATTATTTTTATAACTTCATAGCTCCAAAGCTTATGATTTATTATCATGGTTTTAAAAATAAAAAGCTCATAAACCTTGGAGGCTTATATCGAAGCAGTTTTAGAAAATATTGTTTAAAATGTAATAATGAGTTACTATGTGTGAGCCTCATGTATTACACGAGTTGATCTAAAAAAATATCAAACAGTGTAAATAAAAAATATTTTTTAATGTAAAACTTTAAAATAAGAAAGAAAGAAGCATATTTATTGCAATTTAATATTATATATATATATATATATATTTAATACTTTACATATATAGGTATATGATTTTAATTTTAAAAATTGAAACAAATCAAAAATTGACAAGTGGATAATATTTATTTCAAAAATACCACAAAATGATAAGTATCAAAACTCATGAGAGATCGACATGTGGCAAAAAAAAACATTCATTTATTAAGGAGGATTCTGCTAACGAAACTCAACTTGTGAATTTACGAACTCATAATTAAATCATTATTTTTCAAAACCAAAACACCAATATTTTTCAAATTGGCATGTATGCACAATTATGAACTTCTAATGAGCACAATCAACAATCATACAAAAAAACCAAAAAATAATCGTCAAATCTTTTTTTGAAGCTAAATATGGCTTAGACACAAAATTTTGAGAAGATTTGTGTTTTTGTGTTGAAAAATGATGAGTTGATTATGAATTCGCAAGTTTTCACAAATCTTTTAGGAGGTCATATGGTTGCTGACTGTGCACATTCACATTCCATATGACTGTTTATTGTGCATGCATGCAAATTTCGAAAATAAAAAAAATATATAAATAAAATAATAATTGTCAAATCTTTTTTAGTCTATATATGGCTTAGACTAGGGGTGAGCAAACCCGAACTAAGAAACCAAAAAAAACCGACGAAACCGAAACCGAAAAAACTGAAACCGAATCAAAACCGACGGTTAGGGTTTTAAATTTTTAAAAACCGATTTTTCGGGTTCGGTTTCGATTTTTACCCAGAAACCGGCCCACTAAACCCGAGAAATCGACCCTCTTTAAAAACTGAGAAACCGACCCATAAACCCGCAAAACCGATGATTTTTACTGACCAGTTTATTTTATATATATATATATATATATATATATATATATATATATATATATATATATATATATATATTAAAAAATAAAGATGAATAAAAGAAGCCCTTCGTCATTTACTTATCCCATTTTCGTTTTGCCCTACTCGCAATCGCATTCTCGCATCGGCACATCTCCCAGACTCCCACTGAAGTGAAGAAGCTCCTCAGGTACTTAATCGATCGCGCAGTCGCACACATCTGAGGCTCCGAGCCTCCGACGAGACCTGTAACGGAGCCCCAAACCTCCGGCGCAATCAACGAGACCTGCAACTCCTCTGTATCGTCAAATACGGTTCGTGTTTATTCAAAATTCATGTTTAATTGTTTATGTTCTTCCTAATTTTTCTGATTTCATATAGAATCTTGTGTTTATGTTATGAATTTCGCTTGTGAGTTGTTGTCTGGTTCGTTTTTTTTTTTTTTTTTTGCCTGATCTGTGTTCGTTTCTTTTGCCTGATCTGTGTTCATTTTTTTCCTGATTTTTGGAAATTGTTGGTGTCTTGGTGTATCATCAAGATATGTGTACTGTTCACTGTTCAGGGATACAATATTCATGGTGGTTTGTATCAATTTAATGCATTGCATTTTGTTTAGAGAAAACTACAAATGTGGTTCCAACCAAAATGGTTAGTTGTTTACTGCTTGCCTACCTTTACTTTATCAATTTCCTTTTGTTGTTGTTGTTGTTGTTATTATTATTATTATTATTATTATTATTATTATTATTATTATTATTATTATTATTCAGTTTATTGTTGTGAAATGTTGATATCAAAATAATCAATTTGATGCATTGTATTCTGAAAGATGTGAATCTTATTGTTTGCATATAGAGTGTTGAATTGAAGCTTCTTATTTCCTGAAATTTTTTGGTTTACATATGGATTGGTGATTGTTTTTTTCTATGTAGATGGAAAGGTCTCAACTAGATGCACAAACTTTTGATGTTGATGCTCCCCAAACCGTTGATGTTGATCTTGATGTAGATGAAGGAGCTGATGAAGTAGTTGCAGATAATAAGGGTGGTGGTCATAGAGTATCTTGGGTATGGCAACATTTTGATAGAGATGTTGTAAAGAAGGGTGTTAAGAAAGTGAAATTCCCATATTGTTCAACAATGATGTGTGCAAATTCAAAGAAAAATGGTACGATTGCAATGGGAAATCATTTAAGACTCTATTGTCCAACATCTCCTATTTATGACCCTAAAGGAAAAGTTGGTGATACGAAAAAACAATCTGTGTTGAGTTTCAAAAAAGTGGGAGACTCGGGGGCTACTTCTTTGGAAGTTCATTCCTTCAGCCAAGAGAAATGTAGGAATTCCTTAGCCCGCATGTGTATCAAAGACAATCAACCTTTTAGTATAGTTGAAGATGAAGGATTTAAGGAATACTCACGGGATTTGCAACCTCTATTTAAATTGCCCTCAAGGTGGACTGTTGCAAGGGATTATTTGCAGATATACAAAGAAGAAATGTATAAATTGAAGGATGTTTTAAAAAATCAAACTGTCTCCATTACAACTGATACTTGGACATCCATCCAGAACATTAACTATAGTTGTTTAACGGTACATTGGGTTGATGAGACGTGGGTTTTGAGAAAGAAAATTGTGAACTTTTGTCCCATTGCAAATCACAAAGGTGTAACCATAGGCAAACTCGTTTACAAATGTTTACAGAATTGGGGAATTGAGAAGGTGTTTACAGTGACTGTAGGTAATCCTTCCTCAAATGATGGGGCAATTAGGTATCTAGTGACCATGCTTAGGGGACCCCATGCTTTTTTGGATTGAAAATATTTGCATTTGAGGTGTTGTGCTCATATCATAAATCTTGTGGTTAGGGACGGGTTAGAAGAACATTTTAGTTCCATCACAAAGATCTGAAATGTTGTTAAGTATGTGAGGTCATTGGGTGCTAGGTTTGCTACATTCCTAGAGTGTGTTGAGAAAGTGTAGATTAATTGTAGTAAGAAACCATCCCTTGATGTTGACACAAGGTGGAATTCTACATTTTTGATGTTAGAGACGGCAGAAAAGTATGAGGCGGCATTTGATAGGTACTTTATATACTATTAAGTATGATATATATATATATATATATATATATATATATATATATATATATTAATTTACATACTAATGTTTTTATTGAATTTTATTTTGTATTGTAGGCTTATTGCGATTGATAGTGGTTTTAATATTTTTTGTGGAAGTGAGGTTGATGATGGTGAAGTGACTACGAGAAAGAGAAAAAGAAATGAGAAAGTTGTGGGGACTCCCGATGCCGACGATTGGGAGGTTGCTAGAGGGAGGTGTGTGTGTGTGTGTGTGTATATATATATATATATATATATATATTACTTCAATCATGAAATCTGATATTGTTTAATTGCTTTGGTAGGTATTTTATCGACTATTTGAGGATCTTTTACAATGTCACAAAAAAGATATCCGGGTCCAAGTATGTTGACAGCAAATATATTTTGTAAGGAACTTGTGACAATGCAAGCAAGCATAACTAGAATGTGTGCAAGAACGGCAAAGTCGATGAAAGAAAAATACGACAAATATTGGGACAACATTGAGAACATGAACTTCATGCTTCATATTGATGTCGTTTTAGATCCCCGCAACAAGATGTGTTATTTGGAGTATTGCTTGGAGTTGATTTATGGTAAGAATTCTACCAAAACAAAAACAATTTTGGAGCATGTCAACAAAACACTAGAGGACTTGTTTCAACACTTCAAGAACAAGACGGAGAGAGAAAGATGTGCAAAGACAAGGAGTGCATCATCTTCTACCCCTAGTTATTTTGATTTTGGGCATGGAGTTGATATGGAAGACGATTTTGAAAGGTTTATGGAACAACGTGGGCATGGGGTTAATAAAACAGAGCTTGAGATTTATTTATCAGATGGGATAGAAAAACGGGTGGAGGATTTCCAGATTTTGGGGTGGTGGAAATCTAATTCAAAAAAGTTTCCTGTACTTTCTGAAGTGGTGAAACTTGTTTAAGGAATGCCAATCTCCACAGTTGCATCAGCATCGGCATTCAGTACTAACGGGACGGTGATTGATGAAAGTAGAAGCTCCCTTTCACATATGACTACCGAAGCTTTGATTTGCGCACAAGATTGGATACGGGACACCCCAATTGATATCCAGTTTTAAAATATGACGACTTTAGATGTTGAAGAGACGCGAGAGAAGTTGGTGCCAATAGAAACCGGTAAACATTTTACTATTTTTTACATAATTATAAGTTTGTAATTATATATGTTTATAATTAATTAATTACATACTATTGTTTTGGTTTGTAAAGGAATTGGGGTGTGGTCAAGGGAGTTGCGTGGATGAAGATTTTACTTGAATTTTAAAGGTTTATAACTTAATTATTATAATTTTATACTTTTACACAAGTTTATTGCTCAATAATCATTGATTAATACTAATGTTTTTTGGTTTGTAGATAAATGGGGAAGTGGTGAAGAGATTTACATGGATGTGGATTGAAGATTCATGTTTGCATGTTTTGGTTGTAATCGACTATTTGACTATTTCGGACTTTGTGTTTTAGTGATTGTGTGTTTGGATGTAATCGTCTAATCGACAATTTCGGACTTTGTGCTTTAGTTTGATTGTGTGTTTGGTTGTAATAGACAATTTGGTTGTAAAACTCATGTTTTTTGAAGTATTTAACTTCAATTAGGTGTTTTTTGAATTATTTAACTTATTGCTCCATTTCTGGAAAATGGGTTTAAACCCAAAACCCATGGGTTTAAACCCAGAAATCGTAAGTGTATGGGTTGAACCCAAGAAACCGAGAAACTGCCCAAACCGATACCAGAACCTGAGAAACCGAACCGACCAGAAACCGATGCCATTAGATTCTGAAAACCAGAAACCGATCATTTACGGGTTGGGTTGGGGTCCAAAACCGACCCAAACCGACCCATACACAACCCTAGCTTAGATGCACCATTGGGAGAAGATTTGTGTTTTTGGTTTTTAAAAAAATGATAAGCTGATTATGAGTTCGCAATATATATATATATATATATATATATATATATATATATATATATATAGAGAGAGAGAGAGAGAGAGAGAGAGATGTTGGTCCCTTTGAGATAAAAAATGGAGATTGTAAGATAGTTTTATACCCATTTGATTTCATGATCTTTATTGTTAAAATTTGATGGTGGCATAATTATATATATATATATATATATATATATATATATATATATATATATATATATATATATATATATATATATAACTAATTAAATTAACGTCGTTAACAAACATTTCAGGGTTAGTATTGTAATTTTGCAAACATCAAATCGATTTTGTTGAAAGGTTACGATACTCTGTAACCGCCTATAATATTGTTTTCTTTCTCATTCAAAATGTCACTCATGTAGCCCTCACGAAAACCTTCTTCTGTTTATTTATCGCATTAAGCCCTAGATTTCGGTTGTTATTTGTTCAAATTAAGTGGAAAAATCAGTAATGTCTTCAGAAGAAAATCTAACACATCTTCATTAATCGAAACAAAAGGTTAGAATACTATTAATTTTCATTTTATTGATAATGCATGTTTGTTTTAACTTGTTAACTGTAGCTTTTTTGTTGATAAATATGATTTTTGTTTTGATTTAGTAGTTTTTTCATCATTTTTAGTTGATTTTGATGATTTTTTTCGTTTACAATTTATCTCTTTTTTATGTTTGTTTGTGGTGGTTTTCGTTATAATTAGTTGTTTATATTTTCACAGATAAGGATTTCAAAACAAAATATGTTCGAAAAAAATATTCAAAAATCAAAACAATCTCGAAAGCGATACAATGTTATTTTGAAAGGTACAGTTAAAAAAATCGATGTTCAAAGAGATTTCTGTTATGTTTTTTTGGCGTATTTTCTTCTATTTTTTTTTCTTTTCTATTAATAACTGATTACGTTCATATTTGGCCATTTTATATTTCTATGTAACCAACGTGGATATGAAAATGTTTATCGCCAAGGTAAAGAGAAAATGTCAAAGAAAATAAATGATAAAGGTATGTGTTGTAATTATAACTGATTTTGTGATTTTTTTAAATGGAATGATATTTTATATTTTTAGTTTTATGTTTATTTATACTTCTAATCATAAATGATTATATACATTTGTTTATCTAGGAAACCAATGTGAATCTAAAGATGATTCTCCGCGATCTAAAGAGAAAATATCAAAAAAATAGTAATGATAAAGTATGTTTTTTTAATCATTAGTGACTATGTGAGTTTAAATCATAGCTTATTAATCACATGCATGTTTGTTCTGTATTAATTGAAAGATCTAGTATGCTCAAGAGTGATATTAAAATAATATTGTTAAATAACATATGATCCTAAGGGTCACACTAACAACAACTTGATACAAATGATTATTTATTAGAAATTGATTTTAATAAATATTCATAAACTCTTATAATAACTGGAAAATATTTATTTTACAATACAAGTAACAAATTATTTCATATGGTATGAATATAATATGTCATGTACATCTTTTTGGACCTAATAAACCTTTTTTCTTTTAGCAAAAAGACAAAGTTTATATCTTATAAACTTTGAGTTTATAAAATATAAACTCTTGACTTGTCTTTTCTTCTTGGAAACATGAGATGAAGAGAAAAGACATTTGCATTGGTAATATACAAAAGAATCGAACCTAGAAAATTGTGTTCATGACATAGGGGTCAAAGTTGTCTAATGGTTAATGACTCTTGGACCATAATTCCATTATAAATAAGAAGCGAGTGCTCTTATTTTTCTTCAATCCACTCTCCTTGGCCAAGAGCTCTTTCTTCTTCCCTATCTTCTCTCTAAAGTCTTGAACTTTTAAGATTTTGTTGCTTACATTCTCTCTTTAAGTCATAATCTTGTTTTGGCTTAAAAGCTTAAGACTTGTAACTAGCATTACATCAAGTTGGCACATTTGGTGTCTCAAAGGTTCATCCTCACTCCATCAACTTCCAAGCCTCCGTTAGAGGAATCAAAGTGCTTCAAAGGTTGTTACCACTTTTTTCTTCTATGCTCGTGTTTTAAATCTTTCCTTTCCTTGCAAGATGATCATTGGTGGGTGATAAAATGTTTATGTTATTTTATAAAACTCAAGTTGTAACGCCCCAAAAATACGAGCCAAAAATTTCATTTTAAATACACATACTTAGCAAAACATTAAAATAAAACATTCACCGATCATATCATTTCATAAAAGATGTGCGTGTCTGAAACCAGTTTATAAAAAAACATAATAAAGTCAGAGTACAAATCCCCCAGGAAGATCTCATAGTGCGGAATACAAAGCGTGTGTGTGATGTGCTACTACCGCGCCAGCTCCTTCCCCTTCGAAGAAGAGGTACCTGAAACCAAAACTGAAAACTGTAACCACGAAGCTTAGTGAGTTTCCCCCATCATACTGCATACCATACAATCACATATCATACATATTGCCAGGCATTTCTGGGGTGCCCGACCTACCCGGTAAGGCCATTCTGGGGTGCCGACCTACACATGTCACGCCATTCTGGGGTGCTGACTACCCATGTCAAGCCATTCTGGGTTACTGACTAGCCATCGGTCCTGACGATCGAACCTTGGGGACTATTTCACTACTATCATATATCATAACATAACATTTTATCAGACATATCTGGGGTGCCTGAACTACCCTTCGGTCCTAGCAACCGAACTCGGGGATTGGTCCCCTCCTACTACCTCTATCGCATATAACATAACAAGCCAGCATGCAAACATATAATCACATACTGTCAGACATATATGGGGTGTCTGACTATCCTTCGGTCCTAACAACCGAACTCTACTACTATCACATACAACATATCATGCTAGCATATAACATATCAGGTAGTAAAAAACCTAGATGATATCACAAAGACAATCATCTATTATACATCTCCTACTGGTGGGCCGACATTGTGGCCTTAGACCGACCGCTACTGGAAGGTAACTCACCTCGAAAGTAGCTGTTGAAATCTGCTTGCTGAGCGTCTAACTGCTGGATCGCAAATCCTCCGGCTGAATGGAAGCTTCTCCCTGCGTAGAGTTCGGATCTACTCCTTTCCTTGCACTCTTCAACCACCTCTTTCTCATTCTAAACTCCAATCTCCTTCACAAGGCCAAAAACTCTCTTTAGATCAATAAGGGGGCTAGGGTCTCACTCTAATGCTCTCTGGAAGTGTTAGGGATAAAGGAGGCCAAGATAGAGTGTTTAAATAGGGTGCAAACACACGAATTAGGGTTTTTGCCCAGCCAGGGCCTACTCGCCGAATCCGGGGACCGACTCACCGAGTCCAGAGTCCAATTCCCGCACCTTGACCCACTCCTACTCGGCAAGTTGGCCCATCAACTCGCCGAGTCCAAGGCAATATATATATATATATATATATATATATATATATATACATATATATATATATATATTAAGAAATAAATAGCAAGGAGTACGTACCGGGAACCAGGTGCTACAAATCTCCCCTACTTATCTTAGACGTCGTCCTCGAAGTCTGCTGCTCGATCCCGAAACAGCTCGGGGTAGTGCTCCATCATCTCTTCCACCGACTCCCAAGTCCACTCCGAACCCTTCCGGTGCTGCCACTGCACCTTCACAAGTTCCACCTTTTTGTTCCTCAGATCCTTCGTCTTCCTGTCGAGGATTGCCACAGGCCGCTCGATGTAATTTAGACTGTCGTTGACCTGAATATCTTCCAAAGTGTCACACCCCAAAACCAAGAACGGCGGAAACGTTCTGGGGCGGAGGACGTCATGTATAATATCAACAACAATGTAAAGTAGTAAACAAGCAACAACATCATCCATTGCATTAATAATATAATTATTATACAAATGTGTTCTGTCAAATTTTGATAAACACTAAAGCATAAATCAAAATGAAAGATAAGTCTTGAACAAGCTCCATCTTCCTTTCTCCTTGCATCGATACC